TACGTCATCTTCCATTTGGATTCTTGAAATTGAATTTGATTGTTTCTAATTGTATATCATATTTCTTAAAGGCTCTTACAAAGTTGGACCCATCGTTTATGATGGTAGCTAATATTTGATAAGTATAAGTTACGTTAAACCCAAATTCGGTTGATATACAGTGTGGTTATTTAAGTGTGTAACATGTGGGGGTTAGTAATAGCACAACCCAAATACAAACTAGGCCAAAAGTTGGTGCACGTCTGATTATCATATTAGGTGCACTTAGAAATGGTTGCAAGTCAAACAGCATACAGGGTAGCTCAAACAATATCAAAAGTTTACTGTAAAGTACCCTTATTTCAGAAAATTCAGCAGAATGTCATTGAGAAAAGTTGTTTGGAATTAAAAGTTATGCCTAAATACCAAAACATGGCCTAAAATTTTTTAATTTTTTTTTCGAAAAACATTAATAATTTCTATATTTTTTTATTTTCTATTTCCGCCCTTAGTACTTTCAAAAATCAATGGAAATCAAATCAATTTTACATAACTTTGTTCAAATTCGAGTAAAATTAACTTAGATTTTTAATTTTTTCTGGAATCACAAAGTTCATGTTGGTTGCAATGATATTCAACACAACTTTAAAATGTCGCAATTTTTTTTTAACAAGTTAAAACATTACTAATGATAATATGCATATTAAAAAAACTCTCCCTAAAATGCAAAAGTTTTTATTTTATTTGAGTAAATATTTATTATAGTATTTATTGTTTGAGCTACCCTGTATGCTGTTTGACTTGCAACCATTCTAAGTGCACCTAATATGATTATCAGACATGCACCAACTTTTGGCCTTGTTTGTATTTTGGTTGTGCTATTACTAAAAAAAATCCCATATGTTGCACACTTAAATAACCACACTGGTATAGGCTTTTTACGTTATATTTAGGATGACGTCACATTCAGTAAATTTCTGCTGCCAACCTAACAAAACTAAAAGTACTTTTCAATGCATTTAAAGTAGGGCAATTTCAGATGTTATTAACTATTTTGTATAATTCTAATTAAGTGCCAAAAATACGTTACAGTTAGAAAAAAGTTCTTTCAAGAATTCAGTACTTCTTCGTAGCGTAAACTTACTCAGAAAATGCCAGCAGGTTTGTCGGAGTCGGCCTCAGGAAAGGTAGTATACTTAATAACGTATTTCCAGCCGGAACGCGACCATTTTTGCTTCTTACTGCTGGGAGGTATGTAAGTAAATTACCTATTTTCCGTTTCGTTTGACAGAAAAGACCTATCTATTTTTACCTGCTATGCGCGCGCAACATGAGGCAAATCTTTTTATTAGCTCACTAGTACAGGTGCGAAATCTTCGTTTTGCACGCTGGACATCTCCTTGTCCTTGTTCATTGCTCGTGGTCTGACAAAAATAAAAGTACGGTTGATATTCAACTTGACACAGCTTGACAAGTGACACTCAAAAGAAGGTTGAAATTTTCATTGATAAATATACGTTGCAAAACACGCGGTTTTTCTCTTTTTATCCCGTGCAAATAAGGAGGATGGATTGCCATACATAAGTTTAACAAAATTTGGTACATTTTGCCTCGTCTTGCGCAATGAGCGTTCTGTGTCTTTTTTTATCTAATGAAGTTTTCGTATTATTACCTCTTTGGTTGGTAAAACAGATAGGTCTACTATCACGTGACATTCTGATAAATTATAAGAAAAAAAATAGGCATTGACAACGTTGTCTCTTTTTGTTCTATGACGTCATCCTAAATATAACGTAAAAAACCTATATATGTCACCAATTTTATCGAAACAGAGTGTACCTACGAGAGAAACGCAAAGGCAATCTAATGACATGTATTGTAAAATCCATAAAACTTCCTTTCCCTTACGAACATGGAACATCTATCTGCTTTGCTTCATACAACCTGATAGAATATAGTTCTTCCACCGTACCGTGTTATTTTTTGTAACTGCAATTTCCTTATTAATAATTGTAGTTCGTGATATTAGATTTACCTTCATTAGGTGCGTCAAACAACTGCACAAAATAAGGATTGTCAATTATAGAAATCGTACTCGTGGAATTAACGACAAACTGATTGATTATCTATGGTCAAATTGCTGATAGTTTTTGAAATAAACTGATGAAATTAGGAATTATAAAAAGTGGAAATCAATCAAATTCGAAAATGCTCTACCACCAATCCATAGCAGAGTTGCCAGGTTTTTATAAATGATTACAGCCCTGGTAAAACATTCAGGCATGGCCATGAACGATAACGAAATCCGGATCCAGAGATATTCCAAATCAAATGCTGAGCTTTCAGGAGATCAGAAGAGAAAGCTGCATTATCTGGCAAAACGTCTCAAAACCGGCTCACAAAAAATAAACCTATTTTCAAGCAAAGGTTGGAGTACAAAGAAGAACAATATGCCGGAAAACGTATACTGGATGACGAAGTCAACCGAATTGGAACATTTAGCATCCTCTAACAACGCCAGAGCCGTCTCCACGGAACTGCCACAAAACTAGTTTATGGCCGCTCTACAGAATGTCTAAGTATCATTCCACCTTCCATCAACTCCGAGTGGAATCATTGCGACAGGCTACATCTCTACATTTGTAGGAACCGTGCTTCACCCTGTCCAACAAAACCAGATGTTCGCAGACGTCGAGCCAAAACTAGGGTATCCACGCCAACTGTTTGTGATCGTCAATATACTATCGATAACGCCGTCCTAACAAACACAAAGAAGAAGACCTAAAAACTACGAACAACTCTCCAAATACTAATTCACCAGGTCCAGCTCTAATTATCAATGGAACACGTTTAGAACATATAAAATATTTCAAAATTTTCGGTAGTCATCTTTCGATAAATGCAAATATTGACGCAGTAATTTAGCACCGAGAAAGTGCGCCAGCGCAGCGTTGGACGTCTCTTAGAAAAGGTATTCACCATTCACGACATAAAAGCTCGCAAAAAAGTACCTTCAACTATTGCTGCTCAAAAAGAATACTCAAAATAAATAAACAGTATCGCCGAACGTTCAACAGTATCGTTGGGGAAAACAATTCCACTAGCATTCAACATCAGCTTCTCTGGACTGCTCATGTGGTCCGCGTGCTCGCGTCTTTCGAAGCAAATTATTTATTCCGAAAATGGATAATGACCAACGCAACAGGGCAGGTTATTTAAACGATATAAAGATAGTCAAGTCGATGTTGGTGACTGTCAACGACTAAATCGCCTGGCGTCAAAGTGTCCATCGAGGCTAGCAATATTCCGAACAACAGTGGCGAAGGAATGCGGAGGACGAACGGGATCGTAGAAAAGAAGGAAAACCTCTGATATAAAAGCTGGTCCATAACAACGACCAGGTGCCGCCCACTGAAAGTAAAATCAATATGGGTGAAGTTGTGTGTCCAGAACAGGCTTATCCAGACATCGAAGAACTCTGTCAAGAAATTTATAATACTCGTTAGCGAGAGAATGCCTATGATGATGATAAAGATTGGCACTCTTATACAGGGTGTTCGAACATTCGACCAACAACGCTTCATAGGTGACAGACCTCGAATTTCCAAAAAAATTGAGAAACGAACATGCAGCCAAAAGTGCCAGACTTTCAAGACACAGGGTGCTAGTTGTGGGAACGCCATGTCACCGACGGCACATATAGCTTTTTCAGATTATCGAAACTTTTTTCCAGTTTGGTGCATTCTTCAACCTTTTTTCCGTAAAAAAGATGCACTAATTAGAAGTCCCTAGAGGTAACCGTTTTCGAGATAACCTTCATTGAAATTTCCAATGCAACGGACTTTTTTAATATTCACACGATACACCAAACTGAAAAAGGTTTTGATAATTCAAAAAAATTCGATGTGCGTAGGTGGCGCCAATACTAGTGATATCAAAACCGTGAATGTATTTTTCTTTTTAACAAACCTCCCGATACGTACTTTCGGATCGCTGTGTTGTTTAATTGCGGAATAATTGACAAAAATCCAAAATAAAAGCAAAACTTTGGATCCTGCATCTTGAAAGTTAAGTTGCATGTTCCTATCTCAATTTTTATGGATATGCGAGGTCAAGCGTCGGTCGAATATCCAGAATTCAGAATTGCATCTGAAAGGGGATGCAAAAAAACGGTCTGTTGTTTCAAATATTACATTTTAATTTGAGCCACCCTGTATGTGATGCCTTCATGTATGCACTACTGCAGGACCCTGAACTTAAAGACATAATCATTTCCAGTTGAGTATTATGAGCTCAAATATCTTCATTCTTTAAGTTTTTCATATATTTAAACTTTGATGCAAATATTTTTTATGAAGGCTGTTTGCTTGAACTCGTTTCCCTTTCCTAGAAAATTGCTTAGCAGTGTCGTACCTAATCTGACCTTTTTGGGTAGGTACTATACAATTTTAATAATTTTTAATCTATTTCGAATGATTCTTCCACGTTATGTGTACACAACGAACTTATAAAGATTATTTTTATCTGAATAAGACAATTATGTATTACACATAGGTACCTACACTTTATCTAATTAAACATTATTAGGTTTCGATTGTATCTGGAAAAAAACCCGATAAATAAAAATTACTATGCACTAGAGTGAAATATTTTACATACATCATTCTAATTGAAATTAATAAGATACTTCCAAACCAACATTTCGGCACCACTGAGTCGGGCTAAAATCACTGATGCTTGAAATTTTAATTAGACCTGCTTTTCGACAAATAAATGTTTCCTCTTGTATTTCACAGTAGTATTTTCTTTTATGTCGATTTTCTTTGTTGAATTTGATAAACACTAAATTCTGTTTTAAATACAAAAAAGAGGCCTTAAAAATCTCAAAAAATAAAAGATGTTATCGAAATGAAGGAATTGTTAATGTGCCGGCAGATAAGAGATTATATTTTCACAAATGAGAAAAATAGTTACAAAGTTCAAATTTCCTTCGTTATACTCAGTGTACGTGTTTTTTCCAGATTAAGCGATGAAAATTGTAGTAAGGACACCACACCATGAGTCGGAATTGCAAGCCGTTCCCAAAACTTCCACAAGAGAAGTTTTTCAGACTATGTGCAAGTCTCTGGGAATACAGGAAACTTGGTGGTTTGGATTGATGTACAAAGGGCCTGATAATGAAGACGTCTGGATCGACAAGTCCAAAAAGGTAAGCGACAATTGTTTGTATCATTATTTTCCCACAATCTATCTTTAACTTTTTTCTCTAGGAGCATAAGATGTTTTTTTTTTTTTAAATAAACCAATAATAATACATAACAATACAAAATAGATATTTACGCTACCATTGAGATATGAACACTGAACACTGTTAAAATACGAGTAATGCTTTTTTGTCACACAAGCGGTCTAAGTGGAAATCCTATCCCACGTGTGTCGTACAATATTTAATTTACGGCAAAAGATTTATAAAAACCTATAAAGCTCAAAGAAAAATAATAACTTTCAAAAAACTCATGTTAGTCTACCACATGGACTTGAGAAAATAAATTGTATTTTTTGAATGTTCAACCCTTCCATCTAAAACCCGGGTAGATTTTGGACCCACACTTCCAATTTTTGGCATATATTGTAGAATTGACAGGTTAGCGAAACGCCACTATAATAGCTGTTTATTACTGCAGTACCTATACACGTGTATGCAAGTTGTAGGTGATGGTGCTTAGTTTATTTAATTTTAATTTACAATAATTGACGAAGGGTATATTATGTACCCCGGTTGTAGTAAAGCAGAAAAACAAATTATTCTTGATTACAACGACACAAAAGGAGGTGTTGAGTTGACACTTTAGTTTAGATCAACTTATAATACATATACAGTGTGTCCCGCTTAAGGACACCCTTGTAAAAATTTTATTTTTCAACCGATTCAATTTATTTATTTTTTTGTCTTATACCTTCTCGAATTTAGCACTTATTAGGCTCATAATTTTAGTTCTGCGGCTGTACTGGTGTACAGGGTATCCCACATTGATAGACTCAAATGTCAATATGTCGACGCCTCCAAAAGAAAACATTGTAAGTGACAATTTCAAATTTTACAGGAGAGCGATTTGAAATTTGACGACTTTTAAATCGCTCCTAGTCTTTTAGAAATGACTAAAACTTTTCTGCGACTTTTTGATTACTTTTTTCGGAAGGTCACAAAATAGTTTGTGGGGGCGATTTGTTTATTAACCTTAGTTTGAGGCTTTTTTGTGTGACTTACAATTACGCTAAAACACAATTTCAGCAGAAAAAAAATTGTATTGGCTCTTACATTGTTTTTGTCCGGAATTTTTTTTAAGAACGTGAATTGTAATGCTTTTTACAATTTTGAAACCTTAAGACATTTCCAAACCAAAACATTGTAAGAGACTTTACAATGTATAATTTCTTAGAGAAAAAAGAAAAATAATCAAAAAAAAATGAAGCTTTATTCAAAAAACAGAAAACCTATTCTAAATTATGTAGTAAAACATGAACATAAAAATGTGTTATATTAGTCAGAATCATTATCGCGAACATCTTTCTAGGTTAGAAAATGCATTGTAAATGACACGCGGTTTGCATAGTTTCCAAGAAAAAACATTGTATCTACATGTTAAGATTTTATTCTCCGTGCAAAACAATTGTAAAGTACTTTACAATTTTACCATCCATTAAAATATCCGTGCAAAATGATTGTAATGGCTGTCGCCATTTTTTGGCACCAAGAATGAGAATTTTTAGAATTGTAAAGCACTTTACAATCCAAAGGGGCATTATAAATGAAATTGTATGCACCCTTACTGCTTTCTTACCCGGATTTTTTTTTTAAATTGTTAGTTACAAGTAAAAAAAATAATAAAAGCTGGGTTTTCCCGCAAAAAATTGATGATTTGGCATTTATTTTTAGGAAGAGTAGCAGCAGTAGGTTAAAAAAATGCGAAAAAACGAAAATCGTTAATTTGTCACTTACAATGTTTTCTTTTGGAGGCGTCGATGTACTATTAGGGATTTTTTTTTGAAGAAATCTGATAGCAAATTCTTGTTTAGAATGATCTAAAGCCCAAATGTACTAATTTTTGTTCCATTACGGTACAGGGTGATCACAACAAATTTTCAAAATTTAATTGACCAAACCGCAAAAATGTCATGTTACGGCAAATTAAAGTACATCTTCAGCATGAATATTCCAATGACTTTGAAATCAAAAGTCTATAACGAATGTATACTGCCTGTTGTCCCGTATAGTTGCGAGACCTGGGTGATAACCAGAAAAATTAAACACAAATTGGAAGTACATCAGAGAGCCATTGAAAGACGAATTTTAGGAATTTCCCTAAGAGACCACAAAACAAATACATGGATAAGGGAAAGAACCAAAGTCTCCGACATAATAAAAGAACTGGTTTCCTAAAATGGCAATGGGCAGGACACGTGGCCAGACATAGAGAAAACTGGAGCGGGTATATCACTAGATGGAGACCTTGGGAAGAGAGGAGAAGTGTTGGAAGACCCCAACAAAGATGGTACGACGAGATAAAAAATGTTGCAGGCTTAAATTGGTACCGAGTTGCGCAAAACCGAAGACAATGGTCAAATTTGAAAGGCCTATATCCTAAAGATAGAAAACGGCTGAAAATGGAAAATGGAATGTATCATAATCTCAAAAATGTTTTAAATGTGTTTTTATTACGCATGCATCATAATCAACGATTATCGCACGCTGCAGCGTGCATAAAATGATGTTTATGATGCGTCTACCTTCTCAAAGGTTTGCTATAGAAACGTTCGATCTACCTTCATTACCTAGATATTTACCTGCATACCTGCCATTTATTACTACTTCTCAAAATGAATGAACACTTTTAAAATATTTATGAGATTATGATGCATTCGTAATAAAAAATAGCGTATGATATGCGTGTATAAGAGGGCATTTAAAGCCCTTGCGACTTACAAAACACTCCGCTGCGCGTCGTGTTTTAAAATATGTCGCGCGTGCTTTAAATGCCCTCTTATATCATAATATACTATTATTCATTTTGATAAATAGTAATTTAAACGGCAGATAAATATCTAGGTAATAAAGGTAGATCAAACGTTTCTATAGCAAACCTTTGAAAAGGTAGGCTCATCATAAACATCATTTTTTATTACGCATGCATCATAATCAACGATTATCGCACGCTGCAGCGTGCATAAAATGATGTTTATGATGCGTCTACCTTTTCAAAGGTTTGCTATAGAAACGTTCGATCTACCTTTATTACCTAGATATTTACCTGCCGTTTAAATTACTATTTATCAAAATGAATGAACACTTTTAAAACATTTTTGAGAATATGATGCATTCGTAATAAAAAATAGCTTATGATATGCGTGTATAAGAGAGCATTTAAAGCCCTGCTAAAATAGTAGTTTTCCTAATCAGTGCGCAAAGTTATGTTTTCCCGCACGCGAAAGCAGTTAGACGAACGACGCGAAGCGGAGTTCGGATAAGCTTCAAGTGCGGGAAAACTACTTTGCGTACGTGTTAGGAACAATATTTTTTCTACGAGTGAAATAACTATACCTACTTCCTTTCTAAATTTTTAATTTCTATAGGCATCAAAAACAATTTGTTGTAACTAACTATGTTATAATAAGTTATTTATTATTATTATTTGTATCTGTTCTATCATCATTAACCTGTTCTACCTTGTTCTACCTTATAGATAATTACTAGTATTGTCAAGAGACTTGTCAGGGACATATAATTATAGCAATTGATATTAAACTTTAATCTTCAAATATATACAAGTACATATAATATTACATGGTGTCAGGTGTCAGGACCTTAAAAATGGATCTTAAGGCACCAGAGTCATTAGTTATGGAAGGAGATATGAAAAACAATTGGAAGAAGTTTATTGAAAATTTTGATCTCTATATGACAGCGACAGGAAAAATTAAAGAAAAAGATGAAAAAATTAAAATATCCCTATTTCTATACATTTTGGGAGATGAAGGTAGGCAAATTTATAATTCCTTCGAAGAAATTAATAAAGCTACACTCGAAAATATTAAATTATCTTTCAAAAACTACTTTGACAAGAAATGTCACAATGCTATCGAAACATTTAAATTTTCGAATTTAATTCAAAAAGAAGGGCAGGATATTAATAAATTTATTTTGGAACTAAAAGAGCAGGCTAAAAATTGTAACTTTAAATGTAATAGTTGTGAAAATTCATATGAAAAAAGAATGATAAGAGACAGACTTTTACTTGGAATGGCTGATAAGCAAGCGCAAGCAAAATTACTCCGTGATGATGACATTTCGTTGCAAAAAATTAAAGACTTTTGCGAATCCATTGAGGTTTCCAAACAACACATGGAACTTCTTAATGAGCCCGCAAATTCTAAGGTTTATGAAGTTAAACAATCCTCAAAAAGAATCTGCTACAGATGTAAAACTTTTCATAAATATGGCAGCTGTCCAAATTATTCACCGAATTATACAGAAAAGAAATGTAGAAAATGTTCATTGTCCCACTTATATGGAAAATGTCCTGCTTTTGGCCAAACATGCTCTAACTGTGGTCAGAAAAATCATTTTGCTTCAGTTTGTTTTTCTAAAGAAACAAAATACAACCGCCAAGACAATTTAGAAAATAAAAAAAGAGATTTCACTGAAAAAAGAAGAGTTTTTGCAATTGATGGTTCCCAGGAAAATGCACCAGAAGATTTAGAAGAGGAGCAGTTATTTATTCATGAGACAAAAAAACCAAATTCAAATGTATGTACATGGTATGAGGATTTGAACATTAATGGACATACAATAACATTTAAACTGGATTCAGGAGCTGATATAAGTATTTTGCCTCTGACCATTTTCAACAAACTTGATACGGGCATTTCTCTTAAACCTACTAAAACATCTTTATTAACATTTGGTAACTTCAAAATGAATCCTGTTGGTGAAGTAAATTTAACATGCCAGTATAAAGATATTGTTGAAAATATAATATTTTTTGTTGTTACTTGTGATTCTCAGCCTCTATTAGGTTTATCTGATTGTTTAAAGTTGAAAATGATCAGAAGAGTTTATTGTTTGAATGTAGATTTGCCAAATGACAAAAATAAAATAGTTAATTTATACCATGACATTTTTGAAGGTTTAGGTTGCATTTCAACTAATAG